AATCCCCTGCCCTCCCTTACCCCCCAGTGTCTTATGTCCATTAGTTATGCTTATATGCATGCATACAAGTCCTTCGGTTGATCTCTTACTCCCCTCCCTTCTGCCCCCCAACCCTCTCTGGCTTGACTACACTGTTAACATGACCTAATACCTCTAACCCTCAGTACCTACTGTGTGGTAAACTGAGAAAAATAGTATCTGTTTCATCTATATAGTAGAGCTTTTGTGAGAATGATATGAGATAATACTTAAGAAAATTTTCAAAACAAAAAAGTACTCACTGAATGTAAGCCTAGGGAGTTAAAAATGAAGTCTAGACACAGCAGAGCCAGCAAGAAGAAATGGCTTGGGGAGTTTGACCCTCTGCCAGCCTCCTCTCTTAGCCGGCCCCTTCACCTTTCCCCTCACCACCCTGCATAAAATCACAAGCTTGTTCTGTAAATGCAACTGTAAGACGTGCCGTGGCCCTCCCTCACTTTCAACCAGATTGACACCCTCTGAGCCCCACACATAAGGAAATCGTAGGACTGCCACTCATCACTAATCGGCAGGAAGGCTGTTTTGTTGCATTGCCCCCCCTCCCCAGGTTTCCAGAAGCACTCCACTTCATCATCGAGAGTATACCCCCGGGTATCACAACGCTATATCACTTCCCACTTGAATTATAATGTCTATCAAAAGAGGCATCTCTCGGGAAGCTTGAGAGCTAAGTGGGGAGTGATTTTTAGAGAGATGTGTGGGAAATGGTTTCAATATTTGGCAGTTTCTAAAGGCAGGATGATTTGAGATGTTGGTGTCTTATTGTTTTTTAAATACTTGATCAGCTCATACTATCCCCTTATTTCTGAAAGTGCCTTGTCATTGGAATATTACATTTGGCAGTTGCACCAAAGTAGAATTTTCATAAAGCAGAGGATTACAATTTTTCATTGATGCCATTCATTTACCATGTTTCATGTATATCGCATAAATGTATGTATTCACTAGGAAATCAACCTTTCTTTTACAGATCTCTCCATTAAAATGTACCATTCTGAAACTAAAGACATAGACAATGCCCCAAGAATCGAAACAGCTGAAAGTCCTGCAAAAATGTATAAAGTGTCAACCATGAGACGAGTATTCGATTTGGCAAAGTATCGAACAAAAAGATCAGCATTTTTTCCAACTGGGGTTAAAGTCTGTCCACAGGAATCCATGAAACAGATTCTAGCCAGCCTTCAAGCTTATTACAGATTGAGAGGTAAGAAAAGAGATGAAACCTGCTTAGCCTTTTCTTCTTTCCATCCCTTCCCTTTTATTCATTCAGGGGTCATATCCAGCCCAGAACTTCCAGTCTGTCCTTTAGTCACAAGAGTTATAAAAATCTGCCAACTAATCGGAGAGTAATGAATAATAAACATTCAAAACAATGATAGGTATCTGCTCTTATGTTTTATAATAATGATAATAATGTCCTGTGCAATACAGAGCCATCAGGGCAGTTAGCAAGTCACCAGGAAAGCCTTGGTCTCTGAGTTTTACCTCTTATTTTTGCCAAAGTCCAATATTGGACTTCAATGTTGTTATTATGAAGTAAGAAGCACGGGATGATTGCAATGTCAGGAACCTGAGCAAGTTGATTTATGACTTAACATTTTATTTTTCAAAAGCAACATTACAATCCAGATACTCTCTCCCTCCTTGATAAGGTTAAGGGGCTTATTGCTGATTCAGCAAAAACTTCTGAGGCTTGGAAACCTAGAGGCACGTCCAAGTGCAGAGGAGCCACAAGTGAACAGGGGTTACCAAGGTACAATGCAGGGGTGTTAATGGAGTCACAACATAATTACTGTGATTTCCAGCAGAGTTCCAGTGCAGTGTTTACCCCTGCAGAATTCTTACTGTGTCCCTGGGAGTCATTATGGAGTTCAATTATACCACAGCCATCAGTGGCTGCCCTAGTCATTCACTTGGAAACATTTCCATGGCTTTTTCTTGAAAGGAAAAAAAAACGGATCTTTAGTAGCTGCTATTTAATTCCCTGGGTAGCTCCAAATAATGCAAAGTATCTTGTCTAGCTGAAGCCTAAACTCAGTTCCTCTTACATGTGAAAGCTGAGGCGGTTTACTGATTTCCACCTTGATCTTCCCGGATGTTTGCTTCCATTCCAGAAAGCACAGTCACCCTGATCTATTTCAAGCCAATTGACTAAAGCGAGCTAGTTCACTTCCAGCCTGTGATGTGTTGCACATCATGACCACTGAAAAGCATTTCATGATACTAACATCCCAACATGTTCTTGAGTATTTACATCTGTAATAGGTGCAAGTTTAAACTAATCTGGGGAGTTCTTATTGGGTTTTGGCGCACAATTAACTAACAGTATAAAAAACATCAAGCCTTATGTTTCTCACATGTCTCATTTTATGTAGAAGTAGAGAGATATTTGCTTTCTGACAGAAGCCACACCCACAGAGAAACGGCAAGTACTCACTAGATCATAGCAGAAGGAGGACTCTAATCATAGAAAATCAAGTGCCCCAGGCAAATATTCTGAGATCCTAGCACAGCCCCTCTGCATAGCTCGTTCTCACAAAATGCTGTTGATGAACACAGGAGGCAAAGAGTGACGTGTGTAAATTATCCCTTTTGAATGTGCCTACACTTTGATTTGATAATGATATAGGTAAATTCCATTTTGTTTGTTCAAGTATAAACATATAGTATATGCATCACATTGAATATGAACACAGCTATTGCTAACTATTTCATGACACTTCTAATTCTTTATGACATTCACAAATAGGATTCATCACAAGTATTTATAGAAAACGCTATTGCTGCATCCAAATTTTTAGCTCTGAATTTTATTATTAGCTCTTTAGTTTTACTAGGTTTTCCTCTTTCATTCTTGCTTCCCTAAATGAATCAACCCACTGTTTTTCTTCCCACGGCAATGACAGTCCATTATCTTTATGGCTGCCCCTGGGTGATATGAAATTTTACTATTCATCAACATGGGTTTCTTAAGTCTAACAAATTCAGTTCATAAACTAGAAATAAGGTCCAGCTACAAAGCAGTGTTTCTTTGACAGAGTTACCCACTTACTGTTCTCGTAGCTGCTTTTACAAAATTATCTGTTGACATCCTTCAAACGGGAGAGAAAGCTCCTGCATTCCCCAAATCAAATGGAATATCGAGCTATTTCCTTTCCCAGTGCTTAAAGCAACACAAGTGAAAATGTTCGCAGTAGAATCATAAACATGCTCTTCCCAAAGCTCAGACAGAGGCAAGGCTGTT